GAATCACTGGGTGAGTGAGTCGGGGTGAGGTTGCCTAAGATCATATTTTAACAGCCTTTTGCAAAAGAAGGAACTTAGAATTTGGAGTCAGAAAACCTGGGTTTGTAGCATAGCTTCCAATACTTACTAGTTATATGATCTTTAGCAAATTACCTAATATTTTTGAACTTTTGATGTTCATCTGTAGATTGGGGATGATAACACAGGTATAACCTAACTCTTTGGGTTAGGGATGGAATGTTCTTTGAAAATTGTAAGTGCTTTATAAATTTAAGCTATCATTATTCATGATGATCAAAATTGGGAATGTGTTGGAGTATGAAATACCTGAGAACTGCTCCCTTGATAGATATTCCCCAGGCATTGGGGAATCATATGATGACTTTGGAACCAGAAAGAGATAGCCATAGTATGCAAGGAATTGGAATGATAATCACCTGAGGGGCACACATGGCACATATCATTGGTCCAGGTGAACCACCATATCCAAGATATCACCTGCCAAGTATCAAAACAGGTACTGGCTGATTACCAGTGGAATGAAACCTAATCTACATTCATGAAGGGAATTCAGGGGCATGTCATGAAGGTATGTGATGGTTAATTTAGCAGTTTGGACACCTTGAATTTTTTGGGATCATCATCACTTCAATAATCACTCATTTCTGTTGCAAGTTAAGGTTTGTAAAATGATTTCCTTAGAACAATCATTTAAGTTATGTACAATGACTTATTACACTTACTTTAAAGATAAAGAAACAGAGACTCAGAGATTATAACTGACTAATCTGTGCTCCCATAGATGGTAAATAATATAAGTGAGATTAAAAACCCCTGATTCCAGGTAAATTATCATATGATTCAAGGTTCCAACCATCATGTTTACTTTCATTTTTACTTCCCCTGCAGTTTTTCTACTCTGGCCAATGTTTCCTATGGTTTTTTTTTTTAAATCTAACCATTGTATGACTTCTGGGAAGTCATTTAATCTCTCTGGGCTTCAGTTTCCTTTGCAACTAGAAGTGTTTTGAGGTTACTTCTTGTTTTAAATTTTATGAACTGGCTCCTTTATCCTCTGTGCAAAAATCATCCCCACTAAGCAGTGACCCAGTTCATTTTCCCTATCTGGAGCATCCTCCCAACTCTTGTCATTCAAAATACATCTCCCTCTTTCTTTCAAATTTTATTCAACACCTTTTAGAAATATTCTTTCCATTTAAACACTCACTCTAGCACTGCATTATTCAATCAATGTTTACATTAGTACACAAGGCACTATGCATGTGGGGAATGTTACAAGGATATATGAAAGAGTTCCTGCTCTCAAGAAACTCATAATAATAAGATGAGGAGTAGAGAGAAAGAAAAAAAGATAATAAGAAGATAAATATGCAATTAATGATATTTATGAATGTTGATGGGATGAATTCACCCATAAAATTGAAGTGGAGAGCAAAATGAATTAGAAAGGAGAATCCAACACTATGATTTTTACAAGAATATCTTCAAATAGAGATTCAAATATTCACAGAGAATTAAAATAAGGGGCTAGAGTAAAATTTATGCTTCAGTTAAAAAAAAACAAAAAGGAGTAGCAATCATGATCTCAGATTAAAAAATAGCAAAAAATAGACTTGATTAAAGAGACAAATAGGGAAACAACATTTTTCTGAAAGTTACCACAGACGAATTAATTTCAGTACTTAACATGTAAACATTGAATGGCTTAGTACCTAATTACTTAAAAGAAAAGCTAAATAAATTATGGAATAAGTATGTAATAAAACTATAATAGTGAAGGTCTTCAATATACCACTTTCAGAGCTAGGCAATCTAACCAATAGAATGAAAATATAAAATAAAAAATGAAAAGTTAAGAACCTAAATAATATTTTAGAAAAGTTAGAAATAGTAGACCTCAGATGTATATGTCACCTTTGCAAAAATTGACTGTGTATTAAGGCATAAAAATCTCTTAAACAAATACAGAAAAGCAGAAATACTAAACACACTCTTTACTGACAACAATGAAATAAAATTATATTCAATAAAAGGCCACTGAAGAAAAGTTTAAGAATTAAATAGAGACTAAATAACTTAATCTTAAAGAATGGGTGAGTCAAAGAACAAATTATAGAAATAATATGTAATATCATCATAGAAAATGACACTAATGAAACAACATACTCAAGTTTTTTAGAGGTAGGTAAAGCAGTCCTTGGAGACAAGTTATATCTTTTATACCTCTAAACATTTTCATCAACAGAAAAAAGAGAAAGAACAGATCCACAAATTGGCAACTAAAAAACCAACAAATTTTTAAAACCCAATTAAACACCAAAATAAAAATCCTAAATATCAAAGAAGAAATTAATAAAAACAAAAGAAAAAATACATGGAATTAATAAGTGAAACTAGGAACTTTTTGGTGGGGGGAGGGAATAGATAAATCATTAAGAGAGTGTAGGAGGAGGAATAATATCCAATGCATCTGGAAAAATAATTTGGGACCAGCTTGTATATGACTTTAACATCTAAACAGGATCAATTATATTTTATACTAAACACAATAGGAGGTCACTGCAGTTGGTCAACTAAGGAAGTCATAGGGTCAAGTCTACATTTAAAGAAAATTACTTTGGCTGCAGTATATAAGATGGACTAGGTTGGTGAGATACTTGAGGCAGGGAAATTAATTATGAGGCTACTATAATAATCTAGGCTAGAGATGGTGAAGGACAGCTAGGTGGTACAGTGGATAAAGCAGATAAATTCCAAGTCCAGTGGGCTTGGAATCAGAAAGACTCATCTTTATGAGTTCAAATCTGGCTTCAGACACTTACTAGTGTTTGACCATGGGCAAGTCACTTATCCCTGTTTGCCTCAGTTTCCTCATCTGTGAAATGAGCTGGAGGAGGAAATGGCAAACCACTCCAGGATCTTTGCCAAGAAAACCCCAATTAGGGCCGTGGATGGTCAGACACAATTGAAATGACAACAACAACAGAGGTGGTAAGGTCCTAAAACTGAGATCATAGTTGTGTGAGTGGAGAGAGGAGGTCAGATGTGAGAGATGTTGTGAAAGTATAAACAGCAAGATTTGGCAACTCATTAGGTGTATGGGGTGAGAGACAGTGAGGGATCCAGGAAACTAGCAATTACATGAACATAAGAGACTGGAAGAAAGGTGGTGCCTTCAAAAGAAAGTAGGAATTTTGGAAGAGGTGAGGATTTTAGGGCAAAAAACAAGAAGATTAAGAGAGCCAGAAAGAGACATGGACAAGCAGAAAGAGACATGGGCGACAATAGGTTAAATTTATTATATACTTAATTTTTTTATACTTAATTTTAATTTGTTTTAATTATTTAATTATATGATGTATATATTACATATTATTTAATTATATTAATTTAATATACTTAATTTTAATTTATTTAATTTATACTTAATTTTAATTAATAATACTTAATGTTTAAGTATTATATACTTAATTTTTTTAAGTGACCCAAGGTAACACAGTTTGCTCTTGGCAGATTGAGGACTCAAACTCATTTCTTCTAGCTGATAATACAGGATTCTTCCCACTACCACACCTCATGGGTCATTGGAAACCCAACCTAGGCATTGTTGGTTGGTCAAGAACAAAACCCAGAACTGAAAAACTTAGAAAGAATTTTAAGTCATTCAGCAGTGGGGAGAGCCAGAATAGGTGGCCTATTCCCCTGGATTCTCTGGAGTTTTTACTTTATATATAGTTCAAAAAAAAAGGAAGAAGGAAATAACAGCTGACCGGCCAACAGTTTTCAGATAAGACATGTAGGTAGCTTGAGATGTATAATGGGAGGAAACTCCTTACATTCCTTGCATCTTCAGTTCCCCTTGAAAGGTTTTTTGGAGAAGGATATCCTGAGTTAAGCACTAAACAAATCTGGTCTCTAAGCAATAAGTCTAGTTTCTCAGCCATGCAGGGCTAGGTTCAAACATGCATTAAAATTTTTCCACAGCATCAACACGAAAGCACAAAAAGGAACCCACACTTTAGAATGATGCAGGCTTCTCATTCACTCATCGAACAATTGACAGTTATGGAGGATGCAAAGCAGTATGGGTGAAATGCAAAAAAATGTACATATTTTATAAGTTCTCAGTTTTGTGGTTTGTTCTTCTTTTTATTCTAAGTATCCACGTATGGGACATTCTTAAGCTTGTTGGACCATTTCCCTCTGTTCATTCAAACAGCTCCTGAAATCCCACATCCTTTAGGAAATTCTCTTGGATGGATCAGAGGAAAGTTCCCAGATGACCCTGACTTATCTGACTGTAGAACCCTCTCTATGCATCTCTTCTGTTTCCCCAATGCAAATATACCCTCACCCCTAACATATGCATGATATTAATACTATTCATTATCTATTTATACATAGGTAAATATTTCTAGGGGTTTTCCCCCCGTTTCTCCCTTCCATGAGTATCATCGTCAATGAGAGATAATGTTTCCAGTGGGGAAGGACTAAATCTGTCTGAATCCTCTAGTACAACAGTTGTTTAGTATAAAATATTAGTACTAAAATAAGTTTTTGGATGAAAATTACCATGATAGTGATGATAAGGATGACAGATCAATCTTTGAGCTGCATTTAGACTCAGACCCTCACTAGATTGTAGCACAGATGAGTGACAATGTGTGACTGCATGGGTCAACTGAAAGTGAGTCTTGAAGTAGTGAAAGGAATGCCCCTTGAAAGGTGTAAAGCAGATGATTGGAATCTGAGCATTCTCTGAAATCAGAGACAGTTTCCTCTGATAAACAGGTACTAGAGAGAACTATTCTGTTATTGTAAGAGTTCAGAATCATAACAGGCCAAAGCAGAGGGGTGTGCTTAAGCAATTCTATAAGGAACTGTTTTTGGTTTCTCAGTGTTTACAGAAGAGGAAATGTTGGCTTACCATTAGAAGATGATACCTCCCACTTCTCTTTTGCTCATTCTAGCAGCTTTATTTTGAAAAGTCGCTTGGTACCACTATGAATGTATCCTGCTTCTGAGATCCAGGCTGATCTATCACTGAGAGAAGGGCTCTTCCCATTTAGCCTGAATCTGATCCTCATGCTTCTTTGGATATCACTGTTGATTCTTGGTGAGTAAGGTGTATCCTGGGTGGGGCAGCTCAGATGTTCCTTGATCCCATATCTCTCTGACAGACTTGGGCAGCCTGGGACAAACAGAGATTCTCCTCAGGAAGATTTGAAGCTTCACCTTTCTATATGAATCAAGTCTGCATGGACATGGCAAGGCAGGAAGCAGGAGAAACTGGGCAGATGTAGGGTACAAGGAAAACAAGAGGAAAATGAGCAACTTTAATGTTTCAGAAGAAACTCCAGTCAGTGCCTTTTGTTTGATATGCATGTCTCCTTTTGAATTTAATAGCAAACTTTATAAGCTCATCAAAATGGGCTTTTCTTATTTAACCACCAAGTAGCCTCTGACAACCACTTACTTCCTAAGGAATTCTCCTACCTTCCTCAATTTTTCAACCAGGTGATCTGAACACACCGTGGTTGAGCAGAAATGCTGAATCAGCACTGTGCTAGTTATTGTTACCTTCTGAAAGCCATTGACATTTTAACCCCAAGCTCTGCTTTTCTATAAAGGATGGTGCTTTTTGTCTCAAAGAAGGGGAATAAGAGTTTATATAATACCTATTATGTGCCAGGTGTTGTGCTAAGAATTTTTTTAAACAAATATTATATCATTTGATTTTCGCAACAACCCTGAGAGATGGGTGCTATTATTATCCCCATTTTACAATTGAAGAAACTGAGGCAAACAAAAATAGCAACCTTGTTCAGTGTCACAGAGGTAGTAAATCTGAGGTTAGATTTGAACTCAGGTCTTCCTGACTCCAGGTCTAGTGCTCTATATATCAAATATATCTTGGGATATATTGTAATCAAAGAGTTTACCCAATCAAAATTATCTATGAGACTCTTCTCACTGACTGACTGACTGACCTTTCTTTGACTATATTCTATGTCAGTGAGCACTAGACCTGTGACCCTGATATAATGGAGATATTTATCCCAGGAAGAGAATATACATGTGGGAATAATGTCTGTAGTGTTTTTACTCAGCCTACAATCAATAAAAAAAAAGAAATACTACTTAAAAAAAGGGGGGGGCAGCTAGGTGGCTCAGTGGATAGAGCAGTGACCCTGGAGTCAGGAGGACCTGAGTTCAAATCTGGCCTCAGACATTTGACGCTTACTAGCTGCATGACCCTGGGCAAGTCACTTAACCCCAATTGCCTAGCAAAATACAAATAAATAAATAAATAAATATAAAAAAAACAAGGAACTCAATACATAATAATACATACAAACATTACCAAGTAACTGAATTCTCTGTTCTTCTAGAACTGGGAAATTCTTGCCCCACTAGACGGAAGATTGATAGGGACTCAGGAGTTCCAGTACATAAACAGTCCAAATCCTCCCTTGAGTAGACAAAAGAGTGTAATTTCCACCCACAAGATTCATACTTTCTATGTGACAAGTCAGCAGATGCAGACACAGATACTCATGAAATAGGGCCTCCAATCAGGCATGGCACCATCTCCAGTCATCCTGATCTCTATCTGGCCTCTGGACCCAGATGGCTCTGGAGGAGAAAGTGAGACTGGTGACTCTGCACAGCCCTGCCTCACTTGAATCCAATTCACTTGCATGTCATGGCATCACCTCTTTGATGTCATGGTCCTTCTCGAGAAAGGACAAACAACAACCAGTCAGGCACACCATGAGGCCCTGATCAGGGACCTGGTATGAACTAAAATTCAAGTTGGCACTTTGCTTGTCGGACAGAACCCCTGACCTGGTCTGGCCATGTCACCCAACTTGTGGAGTTGATAAGAAAGGACTCTAAGTCCAATTGACTTTGTGTCCTTCTCTGAATATGTCTGACACTTCCCCTCTTCACCTCCTGCCACCACCCCCACCCTCAATCACCATTATTTCACTCTTAGTGTAGAGGAAGTCTAGACAGAGTGAAAGTGAGGAAGCATGACATTTAGTACGAAAAGAAAAAATTATTCAGAGAAAGTGGTCTCCCTAGATACAAATCTTGAGGATGCAGTGAATTGAACATCTTATAAAAAGACCATGTCCTAGACACAAGCTGGGAAATAGCTTGTGGACGCGAGCTCCAGATGGGACCTTGCTGTTCAGTCATTTTTCAGTCATGTCTGACTCTTCATGACCCCATTTGGGGTTGTCTTGGCAAAGATACTGGAGCGGTTTGCCATTTCCTTCTCCAGCTCATTTTACAGATGAGGAAACTGAGACAAACTGGATTAAGTGACTTGCCTAAGGTCACACAGCTAGTGTCTGAGATCAGATTTGAATTCAAGAAGAGGAGTCTTCACGACTCCAGGCTCAGCATTCCATTCACTGCACCACTTAGCTGCCCTAAAGGGGATTTAGATTTGATGATTTCATTTTTCCACAGGAAGGAACTGAGGCCCTTAGAAATGAAACAATGTGCTCAATGTCACTTACTAGTTAGTGGCAGATCCAAGAACCAATCCATGCACATCTCCATCCACTACAATCCACTGTCCTTAGGTCAGGGCACCTACTTAAAGAAAAGATCCCTTTCCCAGGGCTGAGGCCAGGAGGAAAATGAATGTGAGTAAAGAGAACTTGGAACCAACCCCTCCTCCACTGTACTTTGCTGAATTTGTACTATTCAATGTGAGGGTATCTCAGATTTGATGACCAGAACCTTTAAGGCGAGTGTTTTCTACTAAGTTGATAAGTTCTAAACAGCTGCTTGGTATTTGCCTTTTTTGTTTTGCCTGAATCAGAGGGATGGAGGAGGAAGCAGCATGGTCAAGGGAGAAGCTAAGGATATTCTTAGAAGGCTAGACACTAAAATAAAGGTTGGGAATCTTTACTTTGTCTAACTTCTTGTTTTTCTTCTTTTTGCAGTATCTGTCGATAGACAAGCATGTAAGTTCCCCTTTTCTTTGTCCTTCTGGGTTTCTGGGCAGCATGGACATTGTGACCCTCATGAAGACTTATCTAAGGGGGTCTTGTTTCTCCCAGCCCTTACTGGCTAAGGATTGCAGGGATATGAAAGTGTTGCCAGTTTTCTCATTGATCCCTGGACCAAGGTGGGGCTACTGTGTGCTCACAAGCACCTGTTCTCTGCTCATGTTATACTCATTGAACAGATCCCATCCTGAGCTTTTCAAAATCTTTGTGTTTTGGTCCTTTTAAGAGGAAGTCTGATGGCAAGGAAGGAGACAATTCTAAGTGGCATAAAAGTGTTTTGCAAACCTTAAAATATTATATAAATCATAGTTCTTGTTGCTGTTACTGCTATTTTTTAAAATGAGTTTTTATTGATATTTTCTGTCTCTTACATCTTCATAATATCCCATATATCCCTCTTCCTTGCCATATGACAATATTTGTTAGAGAGGGGAAAAAAGTCTGTATAAATGATGGATAAATTTAGAAAGTCTGAAAATACGTGCAATGCGCAACAACTATGGACCTCCCACCTCTACCAAGGGGTAGTAGGTTGAGGGTGTCTTCTCAGATCTTATTTGATTTGTCTTGGTGTGTCATTGTTCTTTCCATTTACATTGTTATAGTTACCGTGCACGTTGTTTTCTTGGCTCTACTCACTTCACTGTTCATCAGTTCTCAGAGATATTTTCATGCTTCTTTGTACTCACCATATTCATCATTTCTTGCTTCTTTTTGTTTGTTTGTTTTTTAGGCAATCGAGGTTAAGTGACTTGCCCAGGGTCACACAGCTAGTAAGTGTCAAGGGTTTGGTCTGAGGGCAGATTTGCACTCATGTCCTCCTGACTTCAGGGCCAGTGCTCTATCCACTGCCCCCATATTCATCATTTCTTACAGCCAATTAGCACTCTGTTACATTCATGTACCACAAACTGTTTAGCCACATTCCAACTGCTATCTACTATGTTTCCAATTTTTCACTATCACAATAAGTGTTGCTATAAATATTTTGGACTATATGGGAACTTTTTTCTTATTTTTCTTTTTGATAGTTTCCGTGGGGTGTGAGTCCAGCAATTCAGTTTCGGGTTCAAATGGAATTTAGTCATTTTGCATAATATTGCTTTCCAAAACGTTAATACCATTTCCCAGCTCCACCAACAAATTATTTATCTTCCAGCAACCCCTCAAACACTGACTGTTGCCATTTAGGGGAGTCTTTTTTGTGCCAATTTGTAGGGTGTGAGGTGAACGCTCAGAGTCATTTCAATTTACATCCACCTTATTACTAGTGATTTGGAAATTTTTTTCATGTGGTTGTGAATGTTTTGTGGTCCTTCTTTTGAGAATAATTTGGTCATATCCTTTGATCATTGATCTATTGGGAAGTAGCTATTAGTTTATACACACACAAGCACACATACATGTACTCTGTGTGTGTGTAAATATATATACATATACAGATATGTATGTGATTTTTCTTCATTTCTTGGATGCCAAACTCTTGTCAGAGAAATCTAACACTAGATTCTTTTTTTCCCACTCAACCACTTCCTTTCTTATTCTAGATGTATTAATACTGTCCATGCAGTAGCTTTTCAGTTTCAAGTAATCAAAACTGTCTATTTTATCTTTTGTAATTGCCTCATTTGCTTATTTGGTTTAGAATACATCTCTAACCCATAACTGTGAGAGGTACACATTCTGTTTTTCTTCTAATTTTATTCCAGTGTGATCATTAATACTAATGTCATATATCCATTTAGAATGTATTGTAGAGTGTGATATAAGGTATTATCTAAGCTAACTTGAACCAGAGCGATTTCTCATTTTCCCAACAGTTTTTGTTTTTGTTTTTTTGTTTTTTGGGGTTTTTTTTTGTCGAGGCAGTTGGTGTTAAGTGACTTGCCCAGAGTCACACAGCTAGCAAGTGTTATGTGTCTGAGGCCAGATTTGAAGGTCCGGTCCTCCTAACTCCTGACTCAGGGTCAGTGCTCTATCCACTGCGCCACCTAGCTCCCACCCCAACAGGTTTATTTTTTGTTTTGTTTTGTTTTTTGTTTTTTTATCAAATGCAGAGTTTTCCTCTAGGTAATTTATGTTTTCCAAACAATGGATTACTAAGTTCTATTGTTTCTGAATCTACTTTGTCTAGTTTGTTTCATTGATCTGTCTCTCTGTTCTTTAACCAATACCAGATGGTTTTGATGACTACTGCTTTATAACATGGTTTGAGGTTTAGAAGTGCTAGTCCCCTTTCATCCTTACTTCTATTCATCATTTCCCTTTATATTCTAAATTCTTAGTTTTTCCAAATGAATTTTGTATTATTTTATCAAGCTCTGTAAAGCATCCTTTTGGTAATTTGATCGGCATAGCATTAAAACAGTAAATTAATTTTGGTAACATTGTCTTTTTATTATACTAGTATGACCTAGCCATGAGTATTAAATATTCCTCCAGCTATTTAGGTTGTTTTTTAACTTTTTAAGGAGTGCTTTTCAGGTGGATCTATACAAGTTTGTGTGTGTGTGTGTGTGTGTGTGTGTGTGTGTGTGTTTTGTTATTATTATATAGAAACACTACTGATTTTTGAGGAGTTATTTTCTAGCCTGCAACTTTGCTGAAGGTATTAACTATCTTGATTAATATCTTTGCTGATTTTCTGGGATTTTTAAAGTAAATTATCATATCATCAGCAAACAGAGATAGTTTTATCTCTGCTTTACTTGTCTCTATTTCTTTAATTCCTGCCTTTTCTTATTGTTATTTTTAGACTTTCCAGAAACATCAAACAACAGTGGGGAAAGTGGGCATCTTTGCTTCATTCCCGTATTTATTAGAAAAGGTTCCAGTATATTCCCATTGCATATGATGCTGGCTTTTGGTTTCAGATAGATGCTTTTTATATTTTTGTAGTCCCTCAATGCCTATATTTTGTAGGATTTTTAGCAAAAAAAAATTAAATAAAATAAGAGTATTATACTTTGTCAAAGAATATTCTTTTTCTGCATCCATTGAGATAATCATGTGATTTTGGATAATTTGTTTTTTGTTGTTGTTGTTATTCAGTTGTGTCCTACTCTTTGTGATCCCATTTGGAGTTTTCTTAAAAAAATTACTAGAGTACTTTGCCACTTCTTTCTCCAGCTCCTTTTACAGATAAGGAAACTAAGGCAAATAGTGTTAAGTGACTTGTTTAGGGTCACAAAGTTAGTAAGTGTCTGAAGTCAGATTTGAACTCATGAAGATGAGTCTTCCTGATTACAGGACCAGCACTCTATTGACTACACCACCTAGTTGACCCAGGTTTTGCTTTTTAATATAATTAATTATGTTAATTGTTTTCCTATTGTTGAATCATCTTTACATTGCTGATATAAATCCCACTTAATCATACGAATGATTTCTTGGATAAATTGCTATAATCTGTTTTTTTAGTTAATTTATTTATTTTTAGTTTTCAACATTCACTTCCATAAGCTTTTGAGTTTTACATTTTCTCCTCCTCCCTCTCCTCCCCCCTCCCCAAAACAGCATGTAATCTGATACAGGCTCTACATATACATTCTTATTAAGCATATTTTCACATTAGTCATGTTGTAAAGAAGAATTAGAATGAATGGGAGGAACCACAAGAAAGAAGAAACAAAACAGAGAAAGAGACAGAGACGGAGACAGGGAGGGAAGGAGCAAATAATATGCTTTGTTCTACATTCAGACTCCATAGTTCTTTCTCTGAGTGTAGATAACATTTTCTATCATGAATCTTTTGGAGTTGTCTTAGATTTTTGTATTGCTGAGAAGAATTAAGTCTATCAAAGTCAGTCATCACATAATGTGGCTGTTACTGTGTACAATGTTCTCCTGGTTCTACTCACTTCACTCAGCATCAGTCCACACAAGTCTTTCTATGTTTTTCTGAAGTCAACCTGTTCATCATTTCTTATAGCACAATAGTATTCCATCACATTCATATACCACAGCTTGCTCAGGCATTCCTCAATTGATGGGCATCCCCTCAATTTCCAGTTCTTGGACACCACAAAAAGAGCTGTGACAAATATTTTTGTACATGTAGGTCTTTTCCCCATTTTTATGATCTCTTTGGGATATAGCACTAGAGGTGGTATGGTATGCACATTTTTATAGCCCTTTGGGCATAGTTCCAAATTGCTCTTCATAATGGCTGAATCAGTTCACAACTCCACCAACAAAGCATTAGTACTTCAACTTCCCCACATCTTCTCCATCATTTATAATTTTCCTGTTTTGTCATGGTAGCTAATCTGATAGGTGTGATGTGGTATCTGAGAGTTGTTTTGATTTACATTTCACTAATCAATAGTGATTTAGAGCATTTTTTCATATGATTATAGATGGTTTTAATTTCTTCTTCTGAGGACTGCCTGTTCATATCCTTTGACCATTTATCAATTGGGGAATGACTTATATTCTTACAAATTTGATTCAGTTCTCTATGTATTTTAGATATGAGGACTTTATCAGAAACACTGGTTGTAAAAGTTCTTTCCCAGTCTTCTGCTTCTCAATTTAAAGTAATCAAAATTATCCATTTTGAATTTCATAATGTTCTCTATCTCTTGTTTGGTCATAAATTCTTCTATTCTCCATAAATCTGACAAATAAGCTATCCGTTGTTTTCCCAGTTTGCTTATAGCATCTTTATATCTAAATCATGTACGCATTTTGATTTTATTTTGGTGTATGGTGTAAGATGTTGGTCTATACCCAGTTTCTGTCAGACTATTTTCCAATACTCCCAACAGTTTTTGTCAATTGGTGAGTTCTTATCCCAGAAGCTGGGTTCTTTGGGTTTATCAAACAGTAGATTACTATAGTCATTGACTACTGTGTCTTGTGTACCTAATCTATTCCACTGATATATCACTCTATTCCTTAGCCAGTGTCAAATAGTTGTGATGATTGCTGCTTTATAATGCAATTTAAGATAT